ATGACGATCATATTATAATAATCCACTCATGGATTGAAATTCAGTTACAAACAAGAATTTGAGATTCGATGATGTTGGGTTTTCGGGATGAATCCCAAAGTCACTTGGAGATAGGACATAATTCTGGCCCCACTTGGAGATCGGGCGTGTAGAGTTTCGATGTCACTTAAAAGTCGGGCGGAACTCTAACATCGCTTGAAAGTTGGGTGGAACTCCGGTGTCACTTGAAAGTGAGGCGGAACTCCAACGTCACTTGAAAGTGGGGCAGAACTCTGGAGTCACTTGAAAGTCAGGCGGAACTTCGGTCTCACTTGAAAGTCGGGCTGAACTCCGATGGTGCTCGAGGAGGAGTTTCTTCACTCATTCTCTTATTCTCTTCTTCTTATTCTTTTTCTTGCTTGGGTCCCTTCTTAAGAGAAATGAGGGACTATTTATAGTTTTTTGAGGATGACATGACCCGTAAATAGGAGGATAATCAAGAGAAAATAGGGAGTGGTTTAGATGAACGGTCGATATTGAATCTCTTGATCGTGGATCGTTCGTCAGACATTTGAAGGTCTTAATGATATCGGAATTCGGCGATCTTGGCTCGTTGGATTCATCTCGTTGAGCCGCTCAATTCGACTTTAAGCATGCCATGTTTGAAAACTGTTTGATAATCCAAATTGTGGTTTTAACCTTCCAACAACGCTTTGGGTCTTTGATTCAGACACATTTGGGCTCAGATTGAGTTGAATTTGGTGTCGTTCGGTTCGTATTTCCGAGACGCTCAGTTTGACTATAAGTTTGCTGGAATCGAAGTTCAGATGATCTCAGATTTAATTTTTGAAACTTTTGGTCTGATTTTGCCTCGAGATTCGTGCGCGATCAAGATACTTTTTGATGATATATCAATATTATTTCTCTCTATCGGTGTGGGGAATATCATTTTAATTTTTTATTTTTTATATATATTTCAACTTTATCTCTCTCCATTTTAATCATTTTTCTCTACATTACTACTGTTGCGTCCTGGAGTATTCGTGACGGTAGAGAAATATAGTTTAATGTCTTAGCATTGTACGAAGATCCAGTACACAATCAGATAAGTGAGAGGGTGTAGCATTCATAAGAGACAACAGAGTTTTTTACGTGGAAAACCCCTGAAAAGAGGGAAAAACCACGGGGCCTGGCCCAGTTTAAATGAATCCACTAGTATTTGTAGTCGATTACAAATGAGGCCCTTCCTTGGGAGAAGGCCTTGGATTGATGTAGCAAATGTACATCATATAGATTGCATTACATAGTAAGAGTTACATATACATGTTTGTTTGGTCGGAAGGACTGTAGTCGGCAGGAGATCGGGGTCAGAAAGACCGTTGTCTGTTAATGGAGGTCGGAAGGACCATAGTAGGCGACGGAGGTCGGGAAGACCGTAGTCGACAGGAGACTGGGGTCTGAAAGACCGTTGTCTGGTGATGGAGGTCGGAGTGACCATAGTAGGCGACGGAGGTCGGGAGGACCGTAGTCGGCAGAAGACCGGGGTCAAAAAGACCGTCGTAGTAGGGCGGTACTTTGGTAGAACTCTGGACGTCAGGTAGTGGCCCAGCAGAAGTCCAAGCCTCAGGTGGTGTTCAGACAAAGCAACGGCGTCAGGTGCTCGTCCTGCGGAGGAAAGGGCCTTTGGCGAAGGTGAGGGCCTCTGGCGAGGGTGAAGGCCTCTGGAGAAGGTGAGGGCCTTAGATGAAGACGTCATGCCTGAAAGTCGGGCCTTGAGCAGAACGTTGGGCCTGAATGTCAGGCCTTCAGTAGCACGTCGAGCCTGAAGGTCAGCATGAACTCCGTTAACGACGGGCCGTCAAAGTGGTAAGATGAGCGAACTCCCGGTGGTCCGAGGCTCGACGGTGTCGGAAAGCCACGGCGGAGCGGCGAGGCTCCGGGGTGATCGGAAGCTCGCGTGGTCGGTGAGAAACTTCCGGTGTCCGGGAGGCCTTGGGGTCCGGCCGAGTCCGTCGGCGGGTGGTTCAGAGGTGCTTCTTTCCTTCTTTATCCCTCTTCTTCTTGCTTCGCTTCTTGCTGCTCATCCTTATTGTGAAGAATGAGGCTCTATTTAAGATTTGGAGTGGATCCCCGTAATAGTGAGAGATCAAGAGTAATGGGGATGGTCGAATGGACGGCCGATATTTGATCAAGGCCGGTCGGTCAACATTTGAGGCCTTAGGAGATGTAGCAATTGACGGGATCTTGGCTACAGTTGACTTCTCTCGTCGAGCGCGTTCGAGTTCGAGTATGAAACTCGTTAAATGGAACCGTTTGCATTCAAATTGCGGTTTGAACCTTTCAACAAGCTTCCAGGCCAGATTCGACCATTTGGGCTCAGACGATGATAGGTGTCTGGTTCGCATTTCGCGAGACGCTCAGTCGATTGTAAGTTTGCTAAATCGAAGTCGGATGGTCTGAATAATTTATTGAAGTTTCCAACTTGAATTTGGCATGAGATATCGGGCGCGGATTAAGGAAATTTTTGAGGCTATCAATATATAGTAACAATTGTGGAAATAAAATTTCAATCATATTTTATTATTTTGATTTGTATTTTGGAAAACTTAGATGAATATTTTCATGCCACATAAACTCTTTCAATTTCCTCAACATAAATCATTCCATACCGTTTTTTTTATTGATCTATCAACATATTCCGATCGATTATTAAAAAAATTAATTATACACTTTGCTCCACTTTGTAATGAATAATCACTTAATAACAGTGTGAATAGAAAAAAAATATATTTGTTTAAGAAGGTTCTATATAAAAATCAGTGCTTAGCTGCTGATATAAACCAGAAGATGGATTAATCCATTTGTATTTAAATTTTCTTAACTTCCAATCAATGTTACAAACAAAAAGAAGAATTATCTGCTAACTGTAAGGTTAGGAATCCATGACATGGTCATGCTTCAAAGCTGTCAATAAGAGGACAAAAATATATATGATAATTTTTATTATTAATGTAAATGATCTCAATTAATTTTAAAGACTTTTAATTAAAAAAATATTGATTTAATTCGTTTCAGACATTTTCGTATGTTTGTTCCTCACTTTCTTACTGATGCTTTAAAAAAATTTTTGTGCTAATGAACTGATTTCTAAAGCAACTATAAAAAGTTTTTCTCCGAACAGTTTATATCACTTACAACAGTCCCAAATGGGCCGTTATTTGGCATTAAGATATATTCGTAAATTAATATGATATATCATTTATAATGATTATAAAATTGTTATAAAATGTTAATATATTTACAATAATTACAAAAAATAGAGAAACTTATAAAATGATGGAGAGATAAACATTATTTTAGCATATTAGTTTACACAATATATCAGTGAATTAATAAAACCATATCACATATTGCACCCATTATTATTGTATATTAGTTGCGATGGGCAACTAAGGTTTATTTGGGAGACTATTTTTACTGCTTCTTGAAGCATTGTTTAGTATAAAAATTAAATTTGTACTAAAAGCTGCATGCTCAAGAAGCAGTAAAAAGTCATCCAAACAGGCTCTCTATGACTTGTCGCCTATTTGTGCAGCACATTAATCATGAATTAAGTTAACTAGTTTGTGATGGAAGTCATCTATATACAATAAAGTTGAGATAAGAATTTTATATAAATTATCCAAAAACGAAAAAAAATCGATGGGGCTTGTGTAATAACCTAATTTCAATGGCTTATATAATGAAGTATTGAACTACTTGAATTGAACCTATAGAAAAATCTTGCATGTATGAAAAAATCTAGTTGGGAGAGCAGTCATGGTCGGCGCTGTTCTACTGTATTTGGGCCAGCGTGCATGTGTGGTCTAAGGACAACAGCAATGTCATTAAATTTATTGAAATCATATAAAATTATATAATAAGTCAATAACCCAACAATTATCATAACTTACAACTGCAATCAAGCGGGCTAGAGACTTGTCATATGGTATGGCTTTCTCAATTGCTTTATTCCTAATACTAGGAGACTTGTCACTCATTTCGAGGCGTACCTTATAGAACTTAACAAAGAACAAGTTTCAAAGCATTAAAAATGTCTCAAGATGAAGACTATGGCTTCTCTGGGATAGCTTCTTATTGTTTTGCTTTGCAGACCGCAACATTATTCTGTTTGGCTACGAAGCTTTTATTTGCTTTTAAGAATATTTTGATACTAGAAATATGCTTTGTACAACACTTCAAAAAAGCTACCATTTTTTCATAGTAGTTGTAAAACAACTAGTTAAAAAAGTGCAATTATCCAAACTAGCTATAAGGTTTCGTTTGGAAAGACTTTTGTTACTTAGTTAAAGACATCTTTATACAATATTACATTCTTATACTAAAAAATTACTTAAAAAAGATATAAAAAGTCATCGCAACAAAGCGCTTTAAAGAAGCTATCTCCATATAAGAATTTAGACAAAATGACATAGCACATGCATAAAAATTGAAGACATTAATATAATCTTCTATTATTGAGATATGCAACATATGTCAGACATAGTTAAGATTTTGTTCATTGGTTCATCACATTAAAATGGATAATTATTTAACAAAAAATTATTTAATATATATCTATATAATTTTAATAATAAGAATATGATATATTTATCTTTAACTTATCCATTCAAAAATAATATTTTGGTATGATCTAATAAATGTTGTTCAAAATAAAATAAAAATACTTAGTTTTACAAAAAAAAAAACATCTTGTGAATTGAAGAAATATTTTAAAAAATGTTCATTTTTTTTTTAAATAAATTATCTATATTTAAAAATATCTGATTAGCTTAAAATTACTGTTAATTAATTATATTTATGATAAAATGAAATGATAGAGGCCAAATCAAAAATACTTTTGAAGAATTCCTTTCCAAATTATTTTTATCAATATTGAATGGCTGACCGAGCGACTTATATAATAACACATAGCTTATTTATACAACATGTTAGGATTAATTAAGAACTAAGCTCAAAAAATGGCTGTCCTCATCCTCTTCCTTCTCTTCTTCATCTCAATACTATTCTTGCTCTCTTCTCTCTTTCTAACAGGTGATGATCGTCGCCGCCACCTTCCTTTGCCTCCTGGGCCAAAGGGCTGGCCTTTGCTCGGCAACCTTCTTCAGCTGAACTCCAAGCCACACCAAACTCTCCAAACTCTATCAAGATCTCATGGTTCCAACGGTCTTCTTCATCTCCGCTTGGGCACCACTACTGTTATTATCATATCTTCTTCCTCAGCAGCTTCAAAGTGCTTTCGTAACCATGATGTCAATCTCAGTAGCCGCCCCCCAAACTCCATTGGTAAGCACATCGCCTACAACTTCCAAGACCTTGTAATGGCGCCCTATGGGTTGAGGTGGCGAATGCTGAGGAAGCTCTTCTCTGCACATCTCTTCTCAAATAAGGCTTTAAATGACTTTCAGTATGTGAGGGATGAGGAAGTAATGAGGCTTGTGCGAGACTTGGCTAAAAGGGAGACGACTGTAGTTGATATTGGGGAGATGGTCAACTCGTGTGTGGTAAATGCCTTGGCACGAATGATAGTTGGACGAAGGATGATTGTTGAAGGGGAGGAGGCGACGAAGTTCAAGGAAATGGCTACAGAGATGACGAGACTCGCAGGACAATTCAATGTTGGGGACTTTCTGCCATGGATTGACTGGCTTGACCTACAGGCATCTTCAATAATGAATCACAACTGTTTCTTTTCTAAATAAGTTATTATATGAACAGAGCTCATATTATTTATTAGTATTATTTCGTCTAAATATGTTTGCTTTAGGGGTTGAACAAAAAGATGAAGAAAAGCCGTGAGAAATTTGGTGAATTCTTGGAAAAGATCATTGTTGAGCACAAATTGAAGGCAGAAGATGATAAATTTAATGGCAGCAGTCGTGTTAAAGATTTCTTAAGTCTGCTTATTGAGATGAATGAAGATGTAGATGATCAAGTGGAGCAAGATAAGCTCACCAATATCAACATCAAAGCATTACTCCAGGTATATATATATATTTCATTCTTTGTTTTTTTCTCCAATATCTATATCAAAGGCTTAAGTCACTACAGGAAGATCGCTTGGTACCGGCAGACTAAATCTTCCGGTAACAAGGAAAATCTGCCAGAAATATTTATTTTCATGTGAATTTCCTACGGAAATCCATTCGATATTAATTCACGTGTAAGAAAATCTATATTGGCAAAATTTCTTCGTCGAAAACATTTCTGGCACAATTACGACGAAAAAAATGAAGGCTGCACGTCATTTTCTTTGAGCCCATTTCGGCACTTAATCCTTCAGTATTTCAGAAAGGATGGTGGCAACGAACTTGGGCAAAGAAGGCGGCAAACATCGGCAAGGCCTGCGGCACGCACTACGGGAAAATCACCGATTTCCGGCGGCTTTCCGGCGCATTTATGACGTTTTTTCCTGAGGAATTTTCCGGCGGAATTTCCGGCGGCTTTTAAAAATTTAACGAAATGAATAAATTTTTTACTATTTAAATGATTTAACAAAAAACTATTAAAACTTATATTAACAATTTAATTAATTTTCATTTTAAAATTAATTATTTAGTAAATTTTTATTTTATATTAAATATTATTTTTTATTTTAGATTAAATAGTTTTATTTTTTAAATAATTAAAAAACTAATTGATGGTCGGTAACTAACCGGTCTCGATGGTGTCGATGTTCGACGCTGGTCTCTGACGCGAGCGGAGCAAATCGAAACGAAGATGAAAGAAAATGAGAAGAAAGACAACGGAGCAGGCGAAATAGGGCTTTCTCCGGTAGATTTTCCGCTGGTAACATGACCGGCGGATAATGCGTTGGAAAATTCTCGTCGTGTTTAAGTGAGCCAGCACAATTAACGTTAGTAATCCCGCTGGTAATTCCCGAGAAAAATTGCGTAGGAATATAAACAAGCTGATAAAATATGCGCCCGTAAAAATTCTACCGTAAATGTACTGAAGCATATTACGCCGGTTACTCCGCCGCTTTTTACGACGTATATATATGTCCGTCAGAAAATTCGACGGAAATAAAAGATTTTCCAGCAGGAGTCAACATGATAAGAATAGTCAAACCCAAAATCTCAGTTCAAAAAGAAATGAATTTCCTATTTTAGATCATAAACTATCAAATCCTCCTAAATCATCTTTCAAACGAAGAACAAAGAGGAAAGTGGATCGGCAACATACAACCCAAACTTATACTTGTTTCATACAAATAACAAACTGATAAAACTTAGTATCTTCTAACGCCATATCATTTCTTTTGCCTGTAGGACATATTTATTGCAGGAACTGACACTACCTCCATTACCATTGAGTGGATATTAGCCGAGCTCATTCGACATCCACATATCCTTGCACGAGCAAAACAAGAGCTTGACTCCATTGTTGGTCTCAATCGCCTCATCTCCGAGTTGGATCTACCAAAATTTTCATTTCTTCATGACATTATCAAAGAGAACTTTCGACTCCATCCCACAGTCCCTCTCTCTGTCCCTCGCATGGCAATCAAAGACTGTGAGATCGATGGCTATCTTATTCCTAAAGGTGCTACCCTATTTGTTAACATTTGGGCTATTGGTCGAGACCCCGTTAGTTGGCCTAATGACCCACTTGAATTCAACCCCGATCGATTCGGCCCGGGTTCCCTACATGAGAATGTTGATGTAAAGGGGAATGATTTCGAGTTAATACCATTCGGTGCTGGGCGAAGAATATGTGCAGGGATGAATCTTGGTCTTCGTATGGTTCCTCTTGTGACGGCGGTATTGGTGCATTCTTTTGATTGGAAATTACTAGATGGCCAAATGGCAAATATGATTGATATGGAAGAGAGCTATGGGGTAACAATGCAGAAGGCAAGGCCACTTATGGCTAAAGCGGTGCCAAGACTACAACCTGAAGCTTATATTTAGGATTTCTTTGCTCGTCTATTTATCTTCTTAGTACGTACTTATCATATCATGCGCTATTTCTTCAAAAATAAGGGATTGAGAGATACATTTTGGACTTCATGCCATTTTGATTTGCTTAGCTTTTTATCTATTCTACAAACTCTCACTCTATTATTCACAAATAATTTTGAATAATAAAAATGAATTTTCAAACATTCATTGATGTTGAATTATTTTGTGTATATTAGTTTGGGAAATTTAAAATTCACCCTATCAAAAGATAATTTATAATATTGTTATTACTTCATTGTTTTTGAAGAAAGATAGAGAACAGAAGAGCTTGCCCATGCAGAATAGATAGCATCTTCTGCAACTAAAGAGCAGGTCTCCATGACAGGGTCATGCTTCAACCTGCCATGAAAAACACTAAAAAAATGGGAGAGATTGTGTATATCTTACTTCTTCCACAATCTTCACACCTTTTCATGTGCATGCTCATATCTTCTGAGGTTACAAAAATGACGGGCTTCATTTGGGATGATTTTTTTAATGCTTCTTAAAATTGTTTTTTATATAAAAATTTTAATTTTATTTTTGTATAAAAAAATTATTTTAAAAAGAAAGAAAAAAGCCGTCCCAAATGAAGCCTTAATCGATCTATCATGCATAGCTGGTTTCTCTATCCCAACGCATATACGCTTAATTGTCTATCTGAGGAAGGCCACAATGTTGCAGCTCTGAACACAACAAACTTCTCATCGCCAACATAATTGAGATCAAAGATAACAGTGCAACCTTATTGATCAACACAAATACATTATGCAAAAAGTTGCATAATATATATATAAACAAAAAATTATCTTGATCGGGCATGAATCTCGAGGCAAAATAAATCCAAAAACTTAAAAAATTAAATCCGGGATCACCTGAACTCCGATTTCAGCAAACTTACACTCAAACTGAGCGTCTCGAAAATACGAACCCAACGACACAAAATTCGACTCAATCCAAGCCCAAACAAGCCTAAATCAAGGACCCGAAGCGCTGTTGGAAAGTTTTTACCACAATTTGAGTTACCAAACGGTTTTAGAATTTGACGAGCTTATAGTCAAATCAAGCGGCTCGACAAGACAAATCCAACGAGCCCAAGATCGCCAAATTCCGACATCATTAAGACCTTCAAATGTCTGACGAACAGTGCACGATCAAGGGATTCAATATCAGCCGTCCATTCGACCACTCCCTATTTGCCCTTGATCTCACACCTATTTACAAGCTATGTCACTCCATGAAATCTATAAATAGACGCCTCATTTCTCATGAGAGGGGATCCAAGCAAGAAGAAGAGAATAAAAAGAGAAGAAGAAGAGAAGGATATAAGGGAATAACCCCTCCTCGACCACTGCCAGAGTTCTGCCCGACGCCGGAATTCTGCCGGACTTCCGAGCGACGCCGGAGTTCTGTCCAACACTCAAGTAAAGCCAAAGTTCTTCCTGACGCCAGAATCTTGCTCAATCTCCAAGTGACGTCGAAACTCTGCCCGACGTTATAATTGGATCTCAAATTCGGAAGTGAAGCATTGTAAACTGTTTGTCCTAAATTTTAAGAACAAATCAACCTTTTGTACTTCAAACAAATATTAGTGGAATTATTTTAATTGGGCACGGCCTCGTGGTTTTTTCCCTTTTCAGGGTTTTCCATGTAAAAATCCAGGTGTTTCTATTAGGGGTGTCAATATTTGACACGACACGACAACCTGACCCGGAAAATCCGGGTTGGACCCGACCCGTTTATAAACGGGTCGGGTCCAACCCGGATTTTCCGGGTCAGGTTGTCGTGTCGTGTCAAATATTGACACCCCTAGTTTCTCCTCCCTATTC